CAAAGGTTTTTAGGTTCCCTAAACTATGTTTCTGACTTTTATCAGGATCTTAGGCAAACCATCAAACCACTGTATGACAGGCTCAAAGGAAATCCTCCTCCTTGGACCACTGTCCATACTTCTATTATTCAGCAGGTCAAAAAGTTCATCAAAACTCTTCCCTGTCTTGGTATCCCGTCCGTTGATTCTTTCAAAATCATCCAGACAGATGCCTCTGATATTGGTTATGGTGGAATCCTCCTTCAGAGAGAGTCTCCTAATTCTCCTGAACAGATTGTTCGGTTCCATTCTGGTATTTGGAATAAGACCCAACAATCTCAGGTTCAGTGTTATCAAGATTGGTCATATAATTATTTAAAACCATGGATAGATGACTGACTTTGTTAATAATTTCCTGTTCACTTAGACCATCTATGTTCCATTCATAGAGTCTGTTAGACTGAACAGAAAATTGGTTCAATACATTTTTTTCTTCATATTGAAGATCTGGTGGAGTGGGTCTGGAGTACCAGTTTTTTGTGGAGCTGGTAGGGACTCTAACCAGTGCATTAATTTTAGAATCAGGTTGGGTCATACTGTGATCCCTAAACTGACTTTCTAAGTTCTTTATATATATATTCTCCTATACTTCTTGTCAAACGGCTTATAAAGTATTCAACACTACCTAAATTATTTACTATTCGTGTCAACTATATTTATATTTTTAGATTTATAACTCTTCTTGTTTCTTATTTGGAACAAAACAAACGATCGTTAGATCTTCTTCCTTTTCACAAAAACAAACTATATTCCAATAAGGACAAGGGCCCACTGTATTCTTGACTTAAGGTAGTGCTCGAGGATCTTCTCCTATCTTATACCTCTCTTTTAGTCTAGTTTAGGAAAAAGATACCAAAAAAATATANAAGGTAGTGCTCGAGGATCTTCTCCTATCTTATACCTCTCTTTTAGTCTAGTTTAGGAAAAAGATACCAAAAAAATATACCTCAATATAGTAAATCAGGTAGTCCCAGAAAATGTCGTTCTCCTCTTTTGACACTTTTGATTCCAACGTCGTAACAAACTACACAAGGCCCCAAAAACAGCCAACAAAAAAAACACTAGTTTCATTATGGTGGTATACCAGCCGCTTGTTCTGAACTTCCAAATAAGGAAACGAACACAGACAGACCTCTTGTTTTTATTGCTTTGTCCCTCAAACTACACCATGTGGAAAATACATACATGGAAGATGAAGCATTTAAATGGCTTACAAATACAAAAGGATTCACAAACATCTAGTCATCTGAAAGGCTCGATTGGTGCAGTCTCTTCAAGGAGTGTAGCAGCCTCAAAACAGTCGGCAGCTTCACGCACTGATGCACCGCCCTCGTCTTTGTAGAGCAGTCCAAGATTATACCATGCAGATGAATTCATTGTGTCAAGCCGCAAAGCTTCCGTCAGACAATTTTGAACAACCGCCGATGTCTGACCACCTAGCCGTCTCAGAACAACAGCCATGGAAACGAGACTTGGGACGTGGGCGGGATCAAAATCTAAAGCCCGCACAAAAGCTGTTAGAGCTTCTTTGTAGAGGCCCTTTGCTTCATTAAGCAAACCTGCCAAAGAATCAGAAATATTGGATCTTATTAATACGCCACAAGTTGTGCACACATGAAAACAGAGCATCCAACATGTGAAAAAAATAATCGACTGTGATATTAAATGAAAAGAGCCAACTGTAAGACCCCAAACAGATTTATGCACACGGATTGAAAAGTATTATTTCACCACTTGTTAGTGGAAAGATATAAAACAGTAGAATTTGAAAAAAAACTCAGACCTGCAGACTTAACAGGTTGCTTTGCTTTCCATGGGTTCAGATTGGACAAAAGCCCTTTGAAAGTAAAAACAAATGCTAATATCTATATATCTAGTTAAATAACAGAGCTAGAAACAACAAAGTCACAGGATTACGATTCCCCATAATCCTACTATGATCATTGGCTTACACTAATTGGTCGGAGGTATTGGAAACCCTCATGAAACCACAAAGTAACCCTCACAATTCTCCTAAACGACACTTCCTGAGAATGGGTGCAGTCTATTCCGACAACATGACTCCATTCATCCACAGTTCTCTGGCCATTTAACAGCCAATCCCAAGCTCCATGGCTTAATGCGTGAGTGATGCAGTAGGATTTCACAATTTCATCCTTCGAACCCAGGAACCATCTCTGAAAGTCATAACTCTCTCAGAACATATAATGATTCATCCTGTTTTACAGTTTACTTAAAAGTTTCTGACTATCGTACTTCTGACTTATCAAAAATGCAAATTTAACAAGGTATCCATTAGAGGCAATTCTTGAATTCAGGATTCTTTCATTAGAATTCTAATAATTTTAAAGCCAATCATGAATTTTTGCTGACAATAAACTCAAGACCAAAAATGTAGAACAACCAAAATGACTGCTAGCAGTAAATGCAGCAATCGGGACCAACAAAGATTAAGGGGATAAGGCTATGATACACAAATGTTTTTTTCAGTACCACAACCAAAAAAGGGATTATAGCCCTAAATCTTGTGTAGATTTATTTCTGACCTTTTTTAAATATATATATATATATANTTTCAGTACCACAACCAAAAAAGGGATTATAGCCCTAAATCTTGTGTAGATTTATTTCTGACCCTTTTTAAATATATATATATATATATATATAAACTATACACGCATCATGTTTTGGTTGGTGAAAATAGGAGGTACGGTACCGAAATATTGCATTTTTGGTAGCATATTTGGACCCTAGATTGAGGAAAAAAATACTTTTGCAAAGAGGCATACTTACAATTGTAATCAAAAAGAATATTCATCACAGACAACCACTAAATTGCAAACTCATATGCTTCCCTCTCTTAGTTTTCATGTAAAAGAGGATGAACTATGTCAAACCGCCTACACAATTGTATCTGACTGAGACACTTCCCTGCAGTTTTTCCTTTCGGTTATTCTAACCACCAAATTGGAATGGAACCAACATATTGCACCATAAGATTTGTAACAAATTATCACAAGAAAATTTTTAAGGAAATTAAGAGGGGATGATTGACAAAGCGTGTGCCGTGTAAGGTAAGAATAATGAACGTACCGGCAGTGTGCCATCTGGAAGCAGAACCACCACTGAAGGCCTTGGATTTGGAGAGACAGATCTCAGCATCGTGCCACTGTGACAAGCTTATGTAGACAAAAGCTAGATCATGCCACGTTTCTAATTCCAAACTTTTATTATGATTGCCACCATCCTGTCACATTAGTACAAAAAAAGGTAAACAGCTGCTAATTCTGGAACAATATAAGATTTTCAAAAAACCAGGCAGATACTATGGGGAAATGGAAAGTAAACATAAAAATGCTTATGGAATGATCTACCAAGTGTTTGAAGCAAAAGAAACTTGTACTTGGAATCTTCTAAGTTTTACAAAAATAGACGCTACCAATTCCTGGTAAATAGGCTTAATACATACCAATCATGTCTCCTGTCATCCTAATCTTTTGCTGATGGGGCCTACATATGCACTACAAACCTAATATAGAAGCATACTCCCACTTCTTGTCCTGAACTATTGTCTTTACTGTGCTTGCTCTCTGTAGCAAAGGAATATTATCGAAATAATTCTTTGAAAACAATTTCCTTCAAGACAATGGAAAGTAGATTTTTCCTCCATTTTTATGTTGCCAATTTCAGCGTGGGCTTGATGGACCTGCCTTATTCATATAACATATAAATGTTAAATACAGTTATTCGGCGGCTACAACAACATACGCACAACCTTCCGAAAAAAACAACATACATACAAGCACTGCAAATTTTCATGTCCAATAACGCTTTCTACTCTTCCAAGAAACCAGATGGAGACAACAGAATTTTCTTTCATTTTTACCAACGGAGTTTTCTTTCATTTTTACCATCCTAAAAAGGAAAAACGAAAAATAACAACTATAACAAATGTGAAAGAAAACTCTGTTGGTTAAACATGCCACAAAAATATTCTCAGAAAAAAAAAAAAACTAATTACTGTTTCTCAATCAACGTACCTTAAGAAGTTTCTTCCCATATCCAAAGCTTTTTCTCTGAAGTTGAAGAACAGCAAGTAGTTGAGTGTAACTTTCGATAGCGTTCTTCAAGTGACCCTGTGCAATTTGCAGTTTAGCTTTGGTTCGTAATAACTGTCCCTGCTCCCATTTCCCAGTCTGATCTAGAGCAACATTGATGATAGTTTCAGCATCTATAAATCGTTTCTGAGCTNATTCTTCAAGTGACCCTGTGCAATTTGCAGTTTAGCTTTGGTTCGTAATAACTGTCCCTGCTCCCATTTCCCTGTCTGATCTAGAGCAACATTGATGATAGTTTCAGCATCTATAAATCGTTTCTGAGCTGATAATATTCGAGCCAACAGTATCCACCCTCTAAGGTTAGACCCACCTTCCAATTTAAGCAAACATTTTGCATAATAAAGCGCGGCATCCAACTTTCTCTGCTCAGCATTTTCTAAACTGAGATGGTAAACTATATTTTCATCACTCAGTCCCGTCATTCTCCCAGCTGTTTCCAGGGATTGAAGTGCCTCAGATTGTCTCTTAACCCTTTCAGAGTCTGTTCCAACTGATCTAGAACGTGCTGAAACTGAGATACCCAATAAACAGTTGGCAACACCTACCATCTGATCACATACATCTGGCAAGTTTTCAAGGGCTCTGCGAGCAAAGCTTATCCCTTCTTCTGAATAATTCGAGCTTTCCCCACAGATCTTTGAAGCCAATAATAAAGCAGCAACATGATTTGGGTCCGCGTTACTATTCAACAGTTTCCTCAGCAAATTCAACGCGGAAAAGTTGTCACCTTCTTCATAATAGCAGAGAGCTAGTGTGTGATACCTTTCTCGTCGATCAATAATCCCAGGAAGCAATTCTTCCAATTGATTAGCTAAAGCCCCCAGGCCCCCTGAGATAGATAAAGCATATGTAAGGTGATCCAATATTGATGGGTCCCACTCGATTCTTTTGAGAGTAACTTTTCTTAATAGTATCATTAGCAAAAGAATGGCCTCTTCTATATTGTTTCTGGGTACAAAAGAACTGTCCATTTGGGACCGCAGGTTTGGGGGGCTTGCTTCACCTCCACCACTATAGAGAAGAAAAATAGAGAACTCTTTCTGAATCTTTGCTGTAGTGTCAGACTGAAGATTCCAATGATGCAGAAGGCCCCTCCTGTATGACAAGATAGCCCCATTGGGAGAATCAGCAAGTTTCCATAATTCTGGAAGCAGCTCAACAGCCTTGTTTAAGGTCTCCTGCAATTTACAGTCAGCACCAAAGTTTTCAGGCAAGCCTGCTGGTAATGAAGATTCAACAATGTCCAGAATAACTGTACATGATTGAGCAGCTTCTGCAAAAATAATCGGAGACGTATATTAGCCAAAAAATATGAGGGTTTTGCCAGTGCAATAAGCTTGCAAAATCTTTTTCCTCCCCTCACCACTTCAATATGCACACACACCCATACACATATATGTATATGTATAAAGTGATTGAGATACTCTTGTACTTTCATGGAATGTTAAGCACATCCAAATATCTAGAAGTGAACTGTTCTAATGCTTATATATTGAGAACAAATTTTACACTGTAAATGAACTATTGCAAATATATAATTTCACAAGATCATAGTGAGTACAATAATTAGATACTTAATGAAATTTATACAGTTTGCGTCTCTGACTCAAACTTTAAAGGAAGGATTAAGAATTTGTCTGCAGAATCAGAATAAATTTCTACCTAAGAGGTCAATAATGGAAGTAATCTACAAATTACAGAGATCAATAAAATCTTCGGATGGAGTATATAGACTTCTAGTGGTTTTAAGAAAAGGAACAAGTTAAAAATAAATAGTTGACACAATAAACAAGTAAATTTGACCACAAATCAACCTAGGCTTACACGAGAGATCTGCATTCAAAAAGAAGTTTCCTAATTCATGCTATTATATAATAAATATTGCTTCTAAAAATAAAATTAAACCTCTGATGACTGTTGCGTTAAAAGTTTGGAGGAAAAATTTAGAAAATTAAAGGTCTTAATATAAGTGGGATGAAAGGTTAGCAAATGCAGGAATACTAATTTGGTAAGTAATGAAGATTACAAATAGGATAGCAAGAAAAGAAAATTATTTTCAAACCCTATATCCTAATTAGTTTAGCTCATATCACTAATTGAGCATTCCCAAAAAACCATATCTCTTCATGTATTCCACCAAACAAAATGGACTCACACCATTAATTGACCAAAACAAAAAAAAATCCCATATTCTTTCGATGTAGAAAAAAAACCACAAAACCAAAATATCATATAAGGACAGGTTTTGAGAATTCATGAAGTTACCAGTCCCATGTAAGCAACAGCAACTTTTCCTACTTTGCTTAAGGTTGTAATACTATGCCAATTTTTTTCAAAAAGATACCAACAAGGACTTTATCATACACTTCACCATGCCACTGTATTCAAGACTCGAAAACTAGTAGAAGATAACATACCACTTGCAAGAATATGGCAAAAGAGGGAGGTTTTTCTAATTAGCATAAAATCATACCTTTATACCTCCCAAGACCTTGCAATGATTTTGATTTTAAAAAAATCGCTTCCAGAAGTAAACTAACAGCATGGATAGACATTGGTGAGGTCACATAGCTTTGAGAGCGTCTCTGAGGAGGTTCCCCTTTTCTAGCAAGGGCAACTTTCATCTTTGGAGTCACTGCTGCAATGTCTATCCCTTCGAACACATGTAGAGCAGCTTCTATGTTTCCCTTTTGAAACTCATATCTTCCTAACAAAGCCCTTGCTTCCTGAGAAATAATGATATGTCAGTCTCCTTTTTTTTGCAATTGAAAGAGAAACTTAATCCTGTTAGTTTGACTTCAAAGGAACAGTATCATCTATAGAATGCATATATTTGACTCAAGGTGGTCGTGTTCTACAAGAAGCAAGACTAGACATGATGGAAAAAGAAATGAATGCATTGTGATATTTATAGTTAACAACACCAACTGACAGAACAAATGCAGGTGAAAAAATTCAAAGAAAGTGTGAGAGATAAGTAAAAACTTTAAGCATCAAGGGTTGAAGAAATCAACCTCATAATTCAAACCACCACTCTCACGCAAAGATGATTCCGCTTCTTCAATATTGCCAGTGTCTAGCTTCTGTTCAATCTCACCAGCTCGAGAAGAATGCACACTTGCCGAATAGTCCTTGGTTGCAAGAGATTCAGATGAAGATACCATTTCATCCACTCTTGGTTGTTCTCCCGGGAAGAGACACTTCATTATCTTCCCCAACCTCCGACCCTTCCTCCGTTTTTTGATCTGATTCTCACTCCTCATACTGTTTCACCCTGCTCACAATTCTTTAGCCAACCACCAACAAGAAGAAATCAAAACCGGTATTGAAAAAACTTGTTGTAAGCCAAATCTTTTACATCATACAACAGTTAAGTGATAAAAATATCAGAATTCTATCATCAGGAATAATAAAAACCAAAAGATGGACTGAGCCGCCATGAAAATATAACAAAAATGCATAACCGCCAAATAAACCAAACCAATCCAACAACTGGTGGAGAGAAGATGACACATATCAAGAGGTCAAAAGTAAAGAAATTTAACTAAAGAAAGCATATGAAAATTGAAATACTACGAGATGAGCTGACAAAATGTATTATGATTCACAGAGTTTACGCCCAAAACCCCAAGTCCCTCTTAAAATTTCAAAACTCCAAATTTCCGTTAGCAGAATAAGAAACCCATCAACGTTTCCGAAAACCCATGTGAGAATTCCACAAAATTCACCCAATTCATACCGTAAAAGACCTGAGAAATCTCATACTGATCAATAGTTCCACAACCCAAACCCCCTAAATAACCCTCCGGGTGATAAATACCCAAAAGAACAAATAAAATCTAAAAGACTTACATATGAACTGACCCAACTGACAGTAACGAACCCTATAAGACAATAGAAAGACAAAAGACCCACCACCAGTTTCATATATCAATCGCAAGAAATTACCTTCCCCTGAGACAACCACAAAAGAAACGGAGGCCTAGAGCCCACAAAACATCATCTGCAGTACCCATCTCTTTCTCCAATCAAATCCTCATTCAAAATTATTTGATCAATCAAGAATCCAACAAAGGTCCAAGAACAAGAACCTTTGCTTTATATTTCCCCTTTCCTTTCTCCTCTTTTCCTCTCTTTTCTCGGAAAATATTCAGCTTTGTTTAAAGCATTCCTAATAAAGTGTTTCCGTACTCAATTTGAATGGGGTCTTTTGTGGGTTACTCTGATTTTTGTGTTGCCGTAAGGGTGAAAAACAGGGGATGNTAGCTTTGTTTAAAGCATTCCTAATAAAGTGTTTCCGTACTCAATTTGAATGGAGTCTTTTGTGGGTTACTCTGATTTTTGTGTTGCCGTAAGGGTGAAAAACAGGGGATGGGACTTTCGAATCGAATCGTAAGCGAGAGGTGTCTGGTTATTGCTAAGAATCGGGATTTGGGATATAGAAGACAACTGTATTTGGGTCTTGACTTGGAACTTACTACCCGTCTTGTTATTTAATGCCACGTGGAATTCGTTTCCATGCATTTGTGCTGGCGTTAAAACGGTCAATTCACGTAACTGACAAATACAGCGTCGTTTTTCTATTTCATTAGAGGAAGTGTACTTTATTTTTGTCTTGTTCGAGTTAAAATTTAATTTTCTTTTTATTTGAATACAAATTAAATCTCCTTTTTTTAATATGAATTTAAAGAAAGAATTTTATTTTATTTTAATATTTTTTTAGTTAAATTTAAATTTAAGTTAATATTTAAATAAAAATTTAAGACGGTCTTACACAAAAAATCTAAATTAAACCTAGGATTGTGTATTAGTGTTCGTGGTGTGCTACTTGTGCATAGAACTCATAACTCTTTTTTCATCTACGGATCTTATTTTTTACTATTTTTATTTTTAAAATAATAATAATTTTGTGTCTAAAGACACTATACGATATAAAAAATTAAATTGATCTTGCAATTTTTGTGTTTTAAATAATAATTTAATTTTTTTAATTACGTAATTTTAAATTAAAATAAAGAGAGATGTATGTGTGGATTAATGAAATTGTTTGATATTGAGGAATGCGTTGATTGACTTGTTTGATATTGGGGTCGTGTAGAGAAGTTGATATTTTTAAACAAAAAAAAATTGAGAAGAATTTTGTACCATTGACCAAAGTATAGATGCAGATTGAATCAATTTTGACTGTTGCTATGTTTTTATAAATTGAAAATTTAATTTCCTAACAATAATATTAGATAGAGAGCAATGTTACATGGACTTAAGAGAATTCTAAGAAATAGTTCAAGTGATAATAAAACAAGTTGAAAATCCATCACATTATGAGTTTAAACTTTTAGAATTCTACACGGACTTAAGTTAATTCTAAGGGATAGTTCAAGTGATAATATAAACAAATTATAAACCCGTCACATTCTGAGTTTGAACATTGAGAACTTCTTGAGTTTAATTTACGAGAGATTTATTATTTATAAATTATCTAGTCCTGACGTGAATGACCTATTTTTAACCGGACCAAAAAAAGAATTAGTCAAGGTACGTGTAATTCGGTCGGACACTAAACAAAAACAAAAAAAAAAAAAAATAGTAAGAGAAATATAAGTAATAAGAACTATATAAAGTTTTTCCCTCAAACATATATCACAATTATAATATTTACCATTGAAAAAAAAAAAGTAACCTCCACTTAAACAGAGGAAACAATATATATATATATATATATATATATTTTGGGTGTTGTCCTATGAGATGTGAAAATAGAAATAAAAATTGATTTTGTTGAAAAAATATGATTGTATCCCGGTGCATGCGGGACATGGATTCATGGAGATTTGGAGGGAGGCTTTTAAATGATGATTTACTACATTTATAGCAGCCATATCCAGATACGCACGAGGTAGATAGTACCAAATGAGGTTGGCTTAGACTTGGGCACCGAAAATTATTATTTTGGTTTCTTATTATTTTTTTTATCTAGTTATAAAATAACATGAGAAATTTTTTGTTATTTTAAATTATTTTAACAATCAATGAATACAAATAATTCAAAACAAAATGTGTCGTTAAGAATCGTTTTTCGTTGCAGTTATTGATGAACCCAAATTCAACTGGATCAGACCCAATAAATTAAATGAACTTAGATCAGCTAAAAGTATCCTTCGAGCCCCGTTCGTGAGTTCAACTCAATTCATTAATCCAACTCGGTCCAGAATTCAAGGAATTCAAAAAGATCAGAGTACGTGGGGAGTATTTATCGGGATACACACTCTCAAAAATTAAGACAATCTCTAATTGTACTTATCTTTTGTAACTACACTCTCTGAAGGCCTAGTGTTTTTACTCTCACGTCACTGCCTCAACTGAGGTTCTATACCTATAAATTGTAAGTTGTTTCTACGTGAGAATGCATCTCTATACACACCCCTCACATAACTATTTCTCTCTCCTAGTTACCATACCTCATCCGGAGCTCACCTTTGCTCTCTTTTTCCTTACTTTATTAATAAAAATTCTTCGGCCACCATTGTTGTTTTTGGAGTAGAGTAGGTCCCTGTGGTCGAATCATTATATATTTGTGTGTTGACTCATTATTTGTATTTTAATGTTGATTGCTTTATCATTAATTACTCTGTTTTATATACTAGATTGTTGATTGTGCATAAAACTGTTTTATGCATCATCAATTATATTATTCAAATTGGTTTAAATTTGTAATTGGAGAGGAACGTAACCCGTTGGAATGGAGACCTCATGATGAGTAAAAAAACTAGCAAACCAAGTGATATTAGCAGCCTCTCACTCTCTACCCATGAGCTTTCACTGTTGGCATGCATCCATAGTGGATTTTTTTCACTGTTGGACCGGTGGTCTGTTGACCTGTAATGTATCATTTATGATTATTTTTTAACTTTCATGAAGTTGATAAGCAAGGCTTGATTCACGTGGATGCCTAATGTTCTCATTGATAGTTTTGTGGTGAGATGATTAGATTATAACTCGAGTCGATTTTTAGGAGCACATTTTTTTTCCTACCATCTAGACATCACTTGGTGCAATGCCCACACATATTAGTAGTGTCCAATAGAGTTTTGGAGAGATAACTAGTATATGATGAGTTTGTTTGGAGCTGATTGAAATATGTTAATTTTATAGATTTTAGAGTAAAATCAGGTTTGTTTGAACCTCGGGTTTTAGACTAGCTTATGCAACAATTTTTTGAATCTAAGAAGACTTATTTAGACTATTTTAAGGAGCTGATTTATGGATTTTTCTTCACATTTTTTGGAATTTGTTGCGGGTATCACATAACTTTTTAGTTTATTATATTCATTAAATATTATTAATGATGTAAAAAAGTTTAAATTCTTATTTTGGAAACTATTATGCATAAACTATATATAAATGTAATTACTTTTTTTTTTGGCACAAAAAAGTTAGAAATGCACTCCAAACAAACTTTTTCAATTTTTTCAGCTTTTTAAGGAACACCTCAAATGATTTTGAAAGACTTTTTTGCAAAAATTTTCAATCATAACTTTTCACCGAAAAAAATAAAACTCCAAACAGGCCTAATATTATTCTTTTGGATGCTGATGATGCACAAAATATGTTTATGCACGACCAGTCATGTATTAAATGCAGTAATTAAAAAAGAAATTCAACACAAGCAAACACAAATTAAGTGGTTTGATCAGAGTGACCTACTTCACTAATCACTATGAAGGACTACGGTGGCTTAAGTGTTTTATTGCTTAAAGAGTGTAAAGTGTAGGTGGAGCTTACAATTTATGAGCGGTTCCTAACAAATTAATATTTCATTATCGTAACAGGTGAGACAGCTAGATAGAGGTGACACCATTCTCATAACAATCAAGACAATCATGTGGAGATGGTGACATGCACCTGAGGATTGCGTCCCATAAAGATCTACTCATGTATCAGTTGTGAACTGAGTTTCCGAAGATGGCGAGACTGACCCAACTGAACTTCTTTGATTATGTGGTGGGCTTGACTTGTATATTTGAGCAGAGTTTGAACTGTATTTTTAAACTGAGCCTAGTTTAAGTCGTGACCAAATAGATAAATGCAACAGTTAAATACAATTTTTTTTAAAAAACAATAATTTAAATTCCTACATATGTATTTTAGTGCCACTTTTAGTTGATTATTATTCATAGTTTTATTATATTATTATTGTACTTCAAGATGAGTTGTCTTGCTATATATATTGATGATGTACAAAATGATTTTGCATACTATCTGTCAAGTGTGAGTAATAAATGCAGTAATTAAAAGTAAAGAGAGTTGGAGAAGACGAGATTTCTAGTGGTTCGGTTAATGTGACCTACGTCCACTTTTGAATGGTCTTGGTCGCTTGGTACTTTATTAGCTCATGGGTGCAGGGAGTTGAGAGTACAAGCTTAGAGAGAGAGGAGAAAGTCGTGCTCAACAGAGTGAGATTTTCCCCCCAAGTGTTGGTGGGGCTTACAATTTATAGTCGCCCCTCCTAACAGGTTTGGACAAAATATTAGTAAGTAGTTGACTAGTTTGTTGGATCTGACGAGCTCTTATCAACGTGCGAGACAGTTATGTGCTCTCCATGAGATTCGGTCAAAGGATGAGGTGGGGTGTTGACCATCTCCAAGGCGGCGAGGATATGACTTTGGATGACCTTGCTTACTTCCTTCTGATGTAGCTCCTTGACCTTGGTGAGCTTGTCCGGGTGCAGACTCCTTTGAACTTAACTAGTTGGGCCCTTAGGCTTATAACATGAGTTGGGTCCTTAGACTTATAACATGAGTTGGGCCCTTGAGCTTAGCTCATCATTTGCCCCCCAATGTCCTGTATCCAATGGAACTTGAAAAAGAGGCATTCGATTAAGTTCGAATTTTCAGCTGATCGACACAACTAGAAAAATTTCGGGAGGCCAAAACATCTGCTTCCAAGCCCTTTTTGGACTTTTTACAGCATCAATCACAGCCAA